AATATCTGATTGTTTCATCTGAGTTATGTTTCATTACAGTGATGTCTTTTGTGTCAACGATTTAATATTTTTTTTAATTTCTAATTTCTATTCAAATAAACAATCATAATGTTTGAGTGGCGTTAGTTTGGCGCATGTACGTTGTTTTTTCCTGGGATAGTGTAACGATAACTATACTCTCGTCCTATTTGTGTTTTGGCTGCCTCGCACTATTGTGACGAAATGGACTTCGATAATGTGTATTGAACGAAAACAGCTGTTCGGTGGTGATGATCATAGATTTACTATCATTCATTCTATGCGACAAGTAACTATTAAACTGACGTTTTCACATATGTCACATCGGAGTTATAAACCCACGGCTGATTTTTTTACTTTTGTATCCACGTTTGTCATTCTTTATAAAACTGATGTCATGACGTGCACTGTTTTGTCCTAATTGTATCATTTACGAGGTTTAGTGAGTACACAACCCACATCACACCGGGGAGGCTTTGGCTTCACACTCTGAAACCAGGAACAAACGTGAATCGACTTGACGAACCTTACGCTTTAACATTACGCAAGTTAATGTCAGAACTAATAAATTATTTATCGACGTGCCATTTAAATGTTATTAAAGTTACCCCCCTTGTTATTCACTAATGGATAAAGGTTATACCCTTGGGTGTATTCGTATCTGTTTCACAGAAAAATAACGGGCAGTTTTTAAAACCTCCAATCTGAACTAAATAGTGTACAGTTCTCATGAAGTTCTTTGGTATTGGGCGAGGAACAGTTTCATGAGCTTCGGTATATGGTCTCTGGGTTGTTTTGGGTCTCATTCAAGTAATCTGTGAATGACGACATGTTCAGAGCATTAAGTTCCAATACTAATTAGACAGATGTATCCCTGGGCAATGGGACCCACATTAGCAGTCTGGAACATATGGCATGTGTGAATGACACGCATCATAAAAGAATGTATAGTTCTGTTAATGTCTGTCAGTAAATGATCATTCCTGATGTATATTTTCAGGAAACTGCAACAACAAAACAACAAGTATTCAGAGGTCAGAGACGCAGAACTGTCGAGTCACAGGTCAAGTTGGTGTACGTAACTTGAAAAGAGGGCTAAACTGTCTTGTTTGGAAAGGAACCGATGTTGCCCCGCCATCTTTATTTATCTACGAGCAATGATCACTAAGTCCTCAATGTTGATCTATGTTAACCCAACATCGGATCAGGTATAGAGCAAATGAGGTTTTCCTACGTGTCCAGAGTGGAAGGTGTTGGTGTATAGGCCGTTCAGTAGGATATGGGTTCACGTAGGTCACTATAGCGTATTAAGTCTGGAGGTGGGATAAATGTAGTTCTCTGATGTGACGTATCCAGTTTGACGTAAGACAAATGTGGCGTCACAATTGTGACGTATCGAATCGGATGTCGGATAAATGGTGGTTCACTCTAGTGACGTATCCAATCTGAAGTCGGATAAATGTAGATTCACCGAGGTGACGTATACAGTTTGAAGCCGGATGAATGTAGATTCACTGAAGTGACGTATCCATTCTGATGTAGGATAAATGGAGGCTCACTTTTGTGACGTATCCGGTTTTAAAAAGGATAAATGTAGATTCACTCTCGTCACGTATCCAATGTAACACATGTTATATTTTGGGATTTAAGGGAAAAAATATAGATTATAACATATGTTACATTTGTGTAATCATAGTCACGTATCTAGTTTAAAGCCGGATAAATGAAGGTTCACTCCAGTGACGTATCTAGTTTGTAGCCGGATAAATGTAGATTTACTGAAGTGACGTATCTTGTTTGAAGGAGCAAATGTAGATACTTGTTTGAAAGCCGCATTATTGATATTGAAGTGACGTATATTGTTTGAAGCCGGATATATGTAAATTCCCTGTCGTGACGTATCCTGTTTGAAACAGGATAAATTGAGGTTCACCATAGTGACGTCTTAAGTTTCATTCGTGACAAATGTATTTTCACCACATTGACGTATCCAGTCTGAAGCAGGATAAATGTAGGTTCACCACATTGACGAATCCAATCAATCTAGTGACGTACCCAGTCTGAAGCAGGATAAATGTAGGTTCATCACATTGACGAATCCAATCAATCTAGTGACGTACCCAGTGTGAAGCAGGATAAATGTAGGTTCAATCTAGTGACGTACCCAGTCAATCTAGTGACGTACCCAGTCTGAAGCAGGATAAATGTAGGTTCATCACATTGACGAATCCAATCAATCTAGAGACGTACCCAGTCTGAAGCAGGATAAATGCAGGTTCAATCTATTGACGTACCCAGTCTGAAGCAGGATAAATGTAGGTTCAATCTAGTAACGTACCCAGTCAATCTAGTGACGTATCCAGTCTGAAGCAGGATAAATGTTGGGGCAATCTAGTGACGTATCCTGTCTGAAGCAGGATAAAAGTAGGTTCAATTTAGTGACGTATCCGGTCAATCTAGTGACGTACCCAGTCACTCTAGTGACGTATCCAGTCAATCTAGTGACGTACCCAGTGTGAAGCAGGATAAATGTAGGTTCAATCTAGTGACGTATCCAGTCAATCTAGTGACGTATCTAGTCAATCTAGTGACGTACCCAGTCTGAAGCAGGATAAATGTAGGTTCAATCTAGTGACGTACCCAGTCAATCTAGTGACGCATCCAGTCAATCTAGTGATATCCAGTCAATCTAGTGACGTATCTAGTCAATCTAGTGACGTACCCAGTCTGAAGCAGGATACATGTAGGTTCAATCTAGTGACGTACCCAGTCTGAAGCAGGATAAATGTAGGTTCAATCTAGTGACGTATCCAGTCAATCTAGTGACGTACCCAGTCTGAAGCAGGATAAATGTAGGTTCAATCTAGTGACGTATCTAGTCAATCTAGTGACGTACCCAGTCTGAAGCAGGGTAAATGTAGGCCCACTGTAATGTAGATAGTGAACTAAAGTGAGAGCCATGGCACGAAGCATATTCTGCACACTGCAGTCTGAAGCAGGATAAATGTAGGTTCAATCTAGTGACGTATCCAGTCAATCTAGTGACGTACCCAGTCTGAAGCAGGATAAATGTAGGTTCAATCTAGTGACGTACCCAGTCAATCTAGTGACGTGCCCAGTCTGAAGCAGGATAAATGTAGGTTCAATCTAGTGACGTACCCAGTAAATCTATCGACGTACCCAGTGTGAAGCAGGATAAATGTAGGTTCAATCTAGTGACGTATCCAGTCAATCTAGTGATGTATCCAAGGTGAAGCAGGATAAATGTAGGTTCAATCTAGTGACGTATCAAGTCAATCTAGTGACGTATCCAGTCAATCTAGTGGCGTGCCCAGTCTGAAGCAGGATAAGTGTAGGTTCAATCTATTGACGTATCCGGTCAATCTAGTGGCGTGCCCAGTCTGAAGCAGGATAAGTGTAGGTTCAATCTAGTGACGTACCCAGTCACTCTAGTGACGTATCCAGTCAATCTAGTGACGTATCCAGTCAATCTAGTGACGTAACCAGTCAATCTAGTGACGTAACCAGTCTGAAGCAGGATAAGTGTAGGTTCAATCTAGTGACGTACCCAGTCACTCTAGTGACGTACCCAGTCACTCTAGTGACGTATCCAGTCAATCTAGTGACGTATCAAGTCAATCTAGTGACGTAACCAGTCTGAAGCAGGATAAGTGTAGGTTCAATCTAGTGACGTACCCAGTCACTCTAGTGACGTATCCAGTCTCTAGTGACGTATCCAGTCTCTCTAGTGACGTATCCAGTCAATCTAGTGACGTACCCAGTCTGAAGCAGGATAAATGTAGGTTCAATCTAGTGACGTATCTAGTCAATCTAGTGACGTATCCAGTCAATCTAGTGACGTACCCAGTCTGAAGCAGGATAAATGTAGGTACAATCTAGTGACGTACCAAGTCAATCTAGTAACGTACCCAGTCTGAAGCAGGATAAATGTAGGTTCAATCTAGTGACGTACCCAGTCAATCTAGTGACGTATCCAGTCTGAAGCAGGATAAAAGTAGGTTCAATTTAGTGACGTATCCGGTCAATCTAGTGACGTACCCAGTCCCTCTAGTGACGAATCCAGTCAATCTAGTGACGTACCCAGTGTGAAGCAGGCTAAATGTAGGTTCAATCTAGTGACGTATCCAGTCAATCTAGTGACGTATCTAGTCAATCTAGTGACGTACCCAGTCTGAAGCAGGATAAATGTAGGTTCAATCTAGTGACGTATCCAGTCAATCTAGTGACGTACCCAGTCTGAAGCAGGATAAATGTAGGTTCAATCTAGTGACGTATCCAGTCAATCTAGTGACGTACCCAGTCTGAAGCAGGATAAATGTAGGTTCAATCTAGTGACGTACCCAGTCTGAAGCAGGGTAAATGTAGGTTCAATCTAGTGACGTACCTAGTCTGAAGCAGGATAAATGTAGGTTCAATCTAGTGACGTATCCAGTGTGAAGCAGGGTAAATGTAGGCCCACTGTAATGTAGATAGTGAACTTAAGTGAGAGCCATGGCACGAAGCATATTCTGCACACTGCAGTCTGTTCTGAGGTAATGATGAAATCTGGACACTTTCAATGCAGTTGTTATGACGACAGCCACTAAATCCACATTTGTGACATTTGATCATATACAAATATAACATTACCTTTGATGCGGGAGAGCCTTCCTGGAGATCTGACTCGAGAGTTCCTCCTAATTGAAGCAACATATATCAGGAAGATACATTCGGTAACACGGATGAATGATTATTTATTTTATAAATACGTTTGATACGGTTTGATCGGCATTCTAGAGTTTGCGAGTAAATATGTACGGAACCGTACGACTTAATAGACCCAAATTTGGGTATACCGTACAAGCGACTTTCAAGCTTGTCAACGATGTAAACCGAAACGGCTCTAACAAAATATACTAAACCATGTTTTCTATGAAGATTTACGTTTCTTATTTAAATAAAATATCATTTTATGATTTGAAACAATATGCAACAATTTAAAGTAAAAAGTAATGCAATATTCAGCGCTAATGCTTTAAAAATCAAGCATCAAAACTCAATTTGTTTTAACACGTCGCGTAGTGGGGTTGAATACGTCAGTGGTCAATTATCTTTTATCACAAATTACCAGTAGGATATAATCCAAAAGCAACAGGCGTGCTTCAAACACTGCACCCCCGAGATACTGAAAACAGGGTGATGACAAACTTCACTAAGTTGAATCCCTAAGCTGTAAGAAGCCGAACACAATCTGTTGCTATGAAATCTCTTCCTCATCACTGTAAAGTTGCATCAGGGTTGAGAGGAAGTGGAAGTTTGTAATGGAACGCTAGGTCGTATTCCATTACAAATCTTACAATTTGTCCAGATCCTAACACAGCATCCCTCCAGGTCACGGGGGATCTGAGCAGGGAAGGATTCCATGATCATTAAAACCTGTTGCTGCTGTGCGGTTCATTAGCTTCCAGGCTATCCGGCTATGATCCGACAATTGAATGAGGTAACGCCGTATCTTCCACGAAGAGGGCAGTCTGTCCGCTCCAGATCCTCTAACGCTGCGGCCATTACGAAATAACAAACCTGTTGCTCGCAGATGGTTCGCCAGTCCACTTGGGGTTCCGTAACGGTCTGGATGTAATCTGTGTCTTAATGCTACAGGGTTGAGTACATCTCGACCAGCGCTTCTTTCAGACTAGAGGGGAATCCCTCACTAACTCCATATTGATCCGGTTTAAGAATGCACGGCCTGTATACCTCGGCATCAGAATTCAATTGAGCGGTAACAACCAGAGACCAGTAATACCAAACCATTTTTCTGTATGAGAGAACGCGCTACACTCGTGGCGTAGGCCGTCTCGCGAAGAAGCCCGCGTCTGTCTTGAAAAACAATGCAGCAATACATGTGACGTAAACATATATACTGTGCGGGCCAAGGCGAATGAAACGGTTGGCTACAACAAGGCAGAATCTGTACCTTCACCATAGCGGCGGGTATTGAATTTTGTATGAGAGAAAACTAATTATGCAAACATCTAGCACGCCAATGGCGAGTAGAGCCAGGATCGATACGGCCGCTCTGCACAGTGTAGAACGACCGACTATGAAGCCTCATAGCCCGGTGCTGCTGTAATACTCTTTGCCTCCCGCCTGAGTGTACCGCCTCGGAAGCAATGGCGACCTGCTCGCATCTCTGGCAGACAGTCTCTTGCTAGCTCGGTCGGGTTGTGCTGGTTTAACATGCAGACGACAAAGATGTGAATACCTGCGCGTGAACAAGTGTCGTCTGCTGGTCGTGGATAGCCGTCAGGGATGGACATTAAGCTGAGGTTTTAGGACACAATGGACAGCCCAGATAATGTAACGCTGAAAGTGCCACTGTGTAGCTAGCTAGTCCACAGGAGGCAAGGCCATTGACTGTAAACCAGATCGACAGAATTTGTCGCCGTAGATCTGATCGGATATACTGTTCGTATTGCTTCACCAATGCCGACGGAGTAAGGCGACGTAGTATCACTTCACTTTTTCTTTCTTCTTCACCCTTCACCCCGTTTGTCATTCTAACAATTCAAAATTGTTTTCCTAGAGGATACAGATCTTTTCTCTTCCAAGGGGAATACAATGGCCTCCGTGGCAGCGTGGCTTCCCTTTGCCCGGGCATCCGCTATAGGGTGGGTGCCCATCTCACAGAACCCCCTCCCCCCACCACGGGTTCAGCCTGACCATAAAAGAGGGGACGAGAAGCTCAGTATCAATGTGAGCGGGCGTCGATTTGAAACTTGGAGGACTACGCTCGAGAAATACCCAGACACACTTCTGGGATCAAACGAGAGGGAATTCTTCTTTGACGAGGAATGTAAGGAATTTTTCTTTGACAGGGATCCCGATATATTTCGGCACATTCTAAACTATTACCGAACGGGTAAGCTTCATTATCCAAGACATGAATGCATCAGTGCCTATGATGAAGAGCTCGCTTTCTTTGGAATTCTCCCGGACCTTATCGGCGACTGTTGTTACGAGGATTACAGGGACAGAAAGAGAGAAAATAGCGAACGTCTCATCGATGACAAGGGATCTGAGAATGGTGACCCAATACCCGTCGGGAACCTCAGGGAACGGATGTGGAGGGCGTTTGAAAACCCTCATATAGGCACGGCGGCATTAGTGTTTTATTATGTGACAGGATTCTTCATTGCCGTGTCTGTTATTGCGAACGTCGTGGAGACGGTGCCATGTGGTGTAGAAGTAGGAAAGAAGGAAAACCGGTCTTGTGGGGACAGATTTCATGTAGCCTTCTTTTGTCTGGACACAGCCTGTGTCATGATCTTCACTGCGGAGTACTTGCTTCGGTTATACGCCGCTCCGGACAGATGTAAATTTATGCGTAGCGTAATGTCAATTATAGATGTTGTCGCCATCTTGCCGTACTACATAGGACTCGTCATCACCGACAACGACGACGTTAGTGGGGCTTTCGTCACTCTGCGAGTTTTTCGCGTATTCCGAATCTTTAAATTTTCCAGACACTCCCAAGGATTACGCATTCTTGGCTATACATTGAAAAGTTGTGCTAGCGAGCTTGGCTTCCTTCTGTTTTCGCTCACTATGGCAATCATAATTTTCGCTACTGTTATGTTTTATGCAGAAAAGAATGTGACAGACACGAAGTTCACAAGTATTCCAGCGGCATTCTGGTACACCATCGTTACCATGACTACCTTAGGGTAAGTAGTTCTTGTTACCTGACCTGATTAATTCTTCACTAATACATGTCATTAATTATTATCCTCCTCAACAGCCAAACCCCCCACAGCTTACGGCCGCCATTGACGAGTCTACAGGTATTCGAACCAGGCCGGCGCCATTTTACGACAGCCAGTGTCCATTTCTATGGTCAATTATACTTGTACCCTACAAAGCACACAGCTATCTTTTTATTTCACCAATCAATGGCCAACCAATACAAGTATATTCAAGATGGCCCCCACTCACTGTCGCGGATGTTCTAAAAATAGACTTGTGAAGGCTATGAAAAAGTAGGTGCCATGCTAATCATATTTCAGTATTTTGTGCATAGTGAGCCAAGCTTCTGTCAATAACATGTGTTAAGTTGCATATATCTCTCCAAACGTCATGTCATGACCGTAATGTCCAGATTCCATACCCCTGAACATGTTGTCCAAACTGTTTATTCTCACCAATCTGGCTGAAATTGTCAACCTATACCCATATTAAGAGCCTACTCAGTTCCGCTAACGCCACCCTGATGTCATATTTTGCACCGTCTCCACAACGTCTCTCCAAATCAGTCCCATTTTCAGCTCTATCACCAGGTCATACTAATCTTATGGCTGCTTGTAGTAATATCATTGTAGCACCCGAAGTGTCACAATCGATACGAGGTCTACTCGGAGGGAGAGAGCATAATGTTTGTTCTTCCAAATATGGCGGATAAACGGTGTATGTATTCTATTCATGTATTATCTATTGCATCTTGTACTCTGACAACGTCAACATTGTGAAGGTATTGGAATACTACCCCACCCTGGTCGTTCTAATGACGGAGTCTCTAAATCCCATGGGTCTGGAACTGTCAAATACCGATGTTGAATCTGTTCTTATATATTAGTTATTCAGAAATGAAATGTCATATCCGTTCAGTTCTCCTCCTTGCACCATAAATCCTTTCGACGGGAAGGGAATAACAGAAAGCAATTAGCCTTACGACTCCTCCATAGAACACGCACGTATGTGTTATTTTCAGAAAGTGCTCAGCACCCTGAGGTTTTAATGCATTGCAATGAGGGCGGCATGATTTCAGCCAAGTTTTAAATTGATTATCGTATAATGTCGTTAACGGTGTAGAACCCTGATGCCGCTGCAGTAATGAGTCGTGAAATTAAAAAAAAGACCTTATTTACGCCATATTTGACAATGGTTACTGCATAAATGAATGACAGTCAATGCTTCATGCTGTAGGTTTACGGCTGCAGTGTTGAATGGAGGCGTGTTGTGACCCTGTCTGTGTGCACACACACGCAACAGCTGCACTTAGACCACAGTAGCAGAGTAATGATGCAGCTTATATATCATGTAGTGCTACATAGACTCTACTAGCAGAGTAATGATGCTGCTTATATATGATGTAGTGCTACATAGATTCTACTAGCAGAGTAATGATGCAGCTTGTATATCATGTAGTGCTACATAGACTCTACTAACAGAGTAATGATGCAGCTTATATATCATATAGTGCTTCATAGACTCTACTAGCAGAGTAATGATGCAGCTTATATATCATATAGTGCTACATAGATTCTACTAGCAGAGTAAGGATGCAGCTTATATATCATGTAGTACTACATAGACTCTACTAGCAGAGTAAGGATGCAGCTTATATATCATATAGTGCTTCATAGATTCTACTAGCAGAGTAAGGATGCAGCTTATATATCATGTAGTACTACATAGACTCTACTAGCAGAGAAATGATGCAGCTTATATATCATATAGTGCTTCATAGACTTTACTAGTAAAGTAATGATGCAGCGTATATACAATGTATAGACAAACTCCACATAGCATCCACTAGCTGAGAACTGGTTACAACCTGTATATCATGCAGTGCTGCAAAGGCTCTACTTACAGAGTAATGAAGTATCTTATATATCTTGTTGAACGGAACCAACTAGCAGAAAAACGATACATGTTATATATCATACAAAGTGCTTCACAGAACCCTGTAGCAGAGTAAGGATAGGTCTCATATATCGTACAGTGGTACACTGAACATACAAACCTGGAGAAGTCAAAGAGCCCACCAGATTATATTTCATACTGATGTACTGTGGGTAAAGAATCAGGAGCCATAAAGTGGAACATATTAATTCACTTCTTCATATCCACTATTCTGGTATACATTGAATCTGACAACACTGGCTGTGTTGCAAATGTTACGTTTCATGCTCCACGTAGAGGAATATATAATTCATTATTTCATATCCACTATTCTGATATACATTGAATCTGACAACACTGGCTGTGTTGCAAATGTTACGTTTCATGCTCCACGTAGAGGAATATATAATTCATTATTTCATATCCACTATTCTGATATACATTGAATCTGACAACACTGGCTGTGTTGCAAATGTTTCGTTTCATGCACCACGTAGAGGAATATATAATTCATTATTTCATATCCACTATTCTGATATACATTGAATCTGACAACACTGGCTGTGTTGCAAATGTTACGTTTCATGCACCACGTAGAGGAATATATAATTCATTATTTCATATCCACTATTCTGATATACATTAAATCTGACAACACTGGCTGTGTTGCAAATGTTACGTTTCATGCTCCACGTAGAGGAATATATAATTCATTATTTCATATCCACTATTCTGATATACATTGAATCTGACAACACTGGCTGTGTTGCAAATGTTACGTTTCATGCACCACGTAGATGAATATATAATTCATTATTTCATATCCACTATTCTGATATACATTGAATCTGACAACACTGGCTGTGTTGCAAATGTTACGTTTCATGCACCACGCAGATGAATATATAATTCATTATTTTATATCCACTATTCTGATATACATTGAATCTGACAACACTGGCTGTGTTGCAAATGTTACGTTCCATGCACCACGTAGATGAATATATAATTCATTATTTTATATCCACTATTCTGATATACATTGAATCTGACAACACTGGCTGTGTTGCAAATGTTTCGTTTCATGCACCACGTAGAGGAATATATAATTCATTATTTCATATCCACTATTCTGATATACATTGAATCTGACAACACTGGCTGTATTGCAAATGTTACGTTTCATGCACAACGTAGAGGAATATATAATTCATTATTTCATATCCACTATTCTGATATACATTGAATCGGACAACACTGGCTGTGTTGCAAATGTTACGTTTCATGCACAATGTAGAGGAATATATAATTCATTGTTTCATATCCACTATTCTGATATACATTGAATCTGACAACACTGGCTGTGTTGCAAATCGTTCGTTTCATGCACCACGCAGATGAATATATAATTCATTATTCCATATCCACTATTCTGATATACATTAAATCTGACAACACTGGCTGTATTGCAAATGTTACGTTTCATGCACCACGTAGAGGAATATATAATTCATTATTTCATATCCACTATTCTGATATACATTGAATCTGACAACACTGGCTGTGTTGCAAATATTACGTTTCATGCACCACGTAGAGGAATATATAATTCATTATGTTATATCCACTATTCTGATATACATTGAATCTGACAACACTGACTGTGTTGCAAATGTTTGGTTCATGCACCACGTAGAGGAATATATAATTCATTATTTCATATCCACTATTCTGATATACATTGAATCTGACAACACTGGTTGTGTTGCAAATGTTACGTTTCATGCACCACGTAGATGAATATATAATTCATTATTCCATATCCACTATTCTGATATACATTGAATCTGACAACACTGGCTGTGTTGCAAATGTTACGTTTCATGCACCACGCAGATGAATATATAATTCATTATTTTATATCCACTATTCTGATATACATTAAATCTGACAACACTGGTTTTTATAACATAACTTCGTAAACACAAAGCCATGGTTTATTAATCGATGTTAACCGTAGCTTGCAACAAACAGAATGCCAACATAAGACAATAGTGAAAGAATTCTCCCAAGATGATGAAGCACAGTTTCAAATGCTTTAAGACGTTCAAGGAGTTAGCGTTAACTATGTTGCATTGTGCACACACGTGTATTGTGCACACACGTGTATGTGTACACTGTATACATTATTTTACCTCTTAAGGAGGAACACTCTTGCTGATCAATGCTATCTGGTCAACAACTGATGTTAGGCTGACTGGGTTAAGTAAACTTGAACCTATGTTATTCTCCACGGATGTCAAACAACATTCCTGTATTTACATACAACATCAGAGCCAGTAATTGAAACTAGATATACATATAAGTTACCATAAAAAATAACCTATTTGATGCGACAAGTACAATTTAAAAAAATGAAATATGCTTGAAAAATGTACTTTAATGTTGAAACATCATCCAGTATAAAACATAATTTTCTAAACATGTTATTGATAGACATTTCACATCCCTTTTCAACAAGAAGACACAGTTAAAAGAATTGTAAAAATATATTTAGTTGTTTTTTTAGTTGGAGATATTGTTACATTTGCTAACTTCAGGGTTATATAACTGCGATATATTAACATGTGACAGTTTCAAGGGGCATCACAGTATGTTGGTGCAACAGTAGCTCATAATAGGTATTACCTCGTTACACATTTCACCTCATTGTACACAGTGCCATTATATACATGTTATCTTATTATGATACCAATTCATGATACCTTAGTGCTTCTGTGTGCTCATTACCTGTAACAAATGACAAATGTATATTACCAAGCTGATATATTATGAATGCATAATCCTAGAATGCTCTTCAATGCTCTTCAATGAGAACATGAGAGCTCGTCCTTCAGCATGTTTTGAGCGGTACTGTACCAAGATGTTAGGAGTGTATTGAGTGCATCCTTCACGCACTGGATGGAGTAGCTGTGTTTATTAACCACATGTTGCCGAATGTCGCAAAGTGAACAAAGCCAATCAATAGTTTCATTGTTTCCATTCA